GTGGATTTGTTTCTCCAAAGTACCAAGACTAATACAGGCATCTACCAAAACAGTTATTAAAGTAAAAATGTTTAACAGGGTACCTAAATCAATTATATTTCTATATACTACCAATGAACAATTGAAATTAAAAGCATTTTTAAAACTGCACCATCTACAGTTTCACACGACACAATGGAATCTGTAGGTATTAAGTACAACAAAACATGCACTGGACTTGTACATTGAAAACAACCTACCAGCGAACGAAATCAAAGATCTAAATAGTTATGTTAATGGAGACGCATTGCTAGAAATTATTCAAACTGGATATAGAAACGGATATCGAGAGGCCTGGCAAAGGGGCAGCAGGAGCACTGTCAGGCCACAAGGATGACAAGAAGCCCCTAAAATAACCCAAGAAGCAGACCACGGAAATGGACAAGGAAGACAAAGCTTTTAATCAGAAACAGGAAGAAGAAACCCAAGGAGCTAAAAGCAAAGCCTGAGGGGAAGGGCCCCCAGGCCACAGGTGGAATTAAGATGACCCTTGATTCCATCCCTGTGTAAACATCTTGTTATAACATCTGTTGCCACCTATAGTTAGAACGAAGTGTTGTCTTAGAGCCTGCTCTATGTTTAAGAACAAACTTCTGTAAAAAAAGGAAAAAGCAAAGGATATAGAAGGAAAGATACCACTACTGATATAACGTGAATCTTGGGTGAGAGCAGAGAATACCAGAAACATGTTTACCTGTATTTTATTAACTATACAAAAGCATTTGATTGTGTATCTCATAGCATATTATGGATAACACTGGAAAGAATGGTGATTTCAGAATCTTAATTGCTCTCATGTAGAACCTGTAGACAGATCAAGAAGCAGTCATTTGAACAAAACGTGTAAATGACACAAATATGCTTGCTGAGAGCAAAAAAGCCTTGAAGTACTTATTAAGACCAAAGACTCCATTTTTTCAGTATGAATTACACCTCAACTAAAGGAACCAAAATCCTCAAAACGAGACCAAAAAGCAGCATTGTGAGAAAGAAAAGATTGAAATTCTTAAGGATTTCATTTTACATGGATCCATAAACAACACCCATAAGTAGTCAAAAATCAAACCGGCGGTGTATTGTAATTGGTAAATCTGCTATAAAAGTCCTCTTTAAAAGCAAAGAGGTTATTGAAAAGCAAAGATGTTACTTTGAGGACTGAGGTGTACCTGATCTAAGCCATGGTATTTCCAATTGTCTCACATGCATGCAGAAGCCGGACAATAAAGACGACTAAAGTAACACTAATGCATGCTAATTATCGTGGTGGTGAAGAATACCGAATATATCATGGACTTCCAGAAGAACAAATAAATCTGTCATAGACAAAGGATAGCCAGAATCTTCTTTGAAAGTGAAGGTGATAAAATTGTGCCTCATGTACTTAGATCATGCTATCGGGAGGAACCAGACCCTGAAGAAGGACATTATCTATTGTAAAGTAGAAGGTTGGCGAAAATCTATTGACACCGTGGCTGCAACAGTGGGCTCAGACACAGCAGAGACTGCGAGAATGAATGGCAGAGGACCATGCAGTGCTTCATTCTTTGTGGCTGGCACTGAACAACAACGTCGTTATTTAAAGCAGTCAGATCACAGATCCTTACCCGAACCACTCCTGTGTACAGCACCAGGTTTCCACTGCCTTCTAGGACCAGCATGGTGTCTATCTTCTAGAGAACAAAAAATCATGTTTTCATCTGGGCAAAATAAAAAATTTTCTACTGAAAAAAACTGATGAACTATAATGATTTTTAACTTTTTAATCATTGTGCCCGCATTTACCTCTACAGGTGCTGCATCCTTGGCCTGTATGTTGGTGACGGAGCCAAAGATAAGCTGGGTTTTATCATTACTCTCTTGAAATTTCACACAGCTAAATATTAAAATAGGAAAGTAAGCAAATTATTGGCACATGCAACAAACTTTAAGGATCTCAAAGGCACTATGCTGAGTGTAAAAAGACAACCTCACAAAGTTAAATGTCCCTAATTGGGCACTTATGACCTAGTTTTTATTCAGCCCTTGATGACCCAGACAATCAGGACTTTAGACTCAGTCACTTCGAGGTGTACAACATTCTTCATAAACACACCCCTAGATTCGATTTGGATCCCACTAAGCGAACTGGACTTCACCTTGAACACACGGAAAACAGATGAAAGGAACTGAAATACTCCATGGGCCTAAGTCCCTAGTGTGAGAGGAAGCAGGCGACTACTATCACAAGGCTATGTATAAGGAGCTCACTGAACTTTGGTTCAAAATTCTTGCCTTGATGGTGCCCAATCAATGCCTACCATATATGTGCTATTTCCATACTCTAAGTCTTTTTATGACATGGTTAGTACAGTTCTACTTTTGTGAATGAGCATTATTAAAAGTTTCACCCTATTTCCAACCCTCATTGTTTGTATAAATAGTGTCTAGTCACTAAGTTATTCCTCTATAAAAATCAACAATTGATGTATTTTGGCTGAAAAAATTGTCCTATACATGTATACTTTCTTCTTCTTCTTTTTTGCTTGTATACTTTCTTTTCCTTGACAGTGTTTTAAATTCTATACCACTGGCTAAATTAATAGTATATCAACAGAACTACCATATGCCCTATGAGGCTAATTTATAATGTCCTTCAACAAAATAATATTGGTTCCTTTAAAGTGAACAAGGGACATATATAAACTATAGACATACAAATGCATTTTGAGCTCACATTTAATTGTAGCCCAAATTTAAGAACAATTAATTCTTACGACATAGCCCAGTTCAATACCTACCCTCACTAAATGAACATTGAAGATACGGGTGCTATAGCAAAATGTAGTGAAGAAAGCAGATGGTGCCCGGCTACCACAGAGAATAGAGTATGGAATCTTTTGTGTTTTGTTTTGTTTTTGTCTGGAATCCTATGGGCTTGTCTTAAAACAAACAGCCATTTAAATGAGAAGCACAGTCTATGTGATCCAAGAATTATAAATAATAAAAACCAAACCCAGAGTAGGGAGCAGTTTTAGAACATACATTCTGAGCAAGCAATTTGCAGAAGGCTGTGGATGGCAGTGAGAGCCCAAAGCCCATTTGCAGGGTACCCTGTGTGGAGGAAGTCTCTGGTGAATCCCCTCTCACTACACACCGGGAATGGGAAAGGCCTTGCTATCAGAAAGAATATATTGTAAGGTGGATGACTACCCTTGTAGTTAGAGGTTAAAATGTGACACCTTGTCATTGATCTCCCTCTTGATACAATGTGTAATGTTCCAGTTTTTAATGTTTTCTGCTTTATTGTCAATAGAGGGCTTTCACTGCTTCATTCTGCTGTAGTTGGGCCTTTTGTGTTTTGTTTTACTTTTGTATGTTTTCTGCAGATGAAACTGAATAGGTAAACCTGCAGAGACAGCACCTGGATTAATATTTTCAGAGGGACACAGCAAAGGAGGCTGAAGAGAAGCGGAAGCTAACAAGGCTCACCAGGAAGAACGCCCTGGAATTCATAGTGGTGATGGCTACACAACTCTTATGGACGTGACTGAACTACTGAAATGCATGACCTGTAAAGTGTACCACTGAAATTGCTACACAAATTGCTACAAAACATAATTAGCATATACATAGGATTCTTAAATGACAAATTTATAGAGACGACAAAGAGATTAGTAATTGCCATCATTAGGGAATGAAGGGGAGAGGAGTAGAGTATAGTAAAGGGGGTAGATTGTATGCGGGAAATCTCTGAGGTAACGGCAAAAGTTCTCTATCTTGATTTTCATATTTACACAAATGTACACACGTGAGAAAATCATAACCATTAACATACACAAATAAGTGGGTTCATCTATACCTGACAAAATATGAATAAGGTCTATGAATCACAGTGGTGTTAATTTCCTGATTTTAATAATGTACTACAGTAATTTAAGATGTTACCCCTGGGGAGAAAAGAGTGCAGGCTACATAGTACCTTCCTGTGCTATTTTGCAACTTCCTGTATTCTGTAATCAATTCAAAATAAAAGAGAAAAATGGATAAAAGATTTGATTAGACATTTCACCTATGAGATAAATAAATGGCTAATAAGTACACTTGAATGTATTCAACATCGTAAGTCATTAGGAAAATGCAAATTAAAACTACAACAAAATAACCCTTCATGTCCACTGAGATGACTAAAATCATAGTGAGTAACAATATCCAAAATTGTTGAGACTATAAAGAAAGCAGAGTCCTTACCATTGCTGTTGGAAAGTTAAAGTAGTGCAGCCTATCTAAGAAATGATGTCAGTTTGTTAAACTGTTCCACATAAATTTACCATTTGACCCAATAGTTCCGCTCCTACGTAGCTATCCAAGAAAATGCGACCACACAGTTGACCCTCTGTATCTGTGGGCTCTGCCTCTGTGCTTTCATCCCCCTGCAGATCCAAAGTATGCCAGGGGAGGGAGGGACGCAAGGAAGTGCTCACCGCAATCCCCAAAGGCTAAGGGGAGCTTAAAGTGCTATTTACATAGCCAGCTAGTATAAATAATCTACAGACTATTTAAAGTAGACGGAAGAATGTGTGAAAATATGATGCCAGTTTAGGGCAAGAGCATGAGCATCCGTGGATTTTGGTATGCACAAGGGGTCCTGAAACCAATCCCCTTTGGATATCGAGGGAGGCTCATGTATCGGCACCGACATTTTTGCTAAAATGTTCATTGCATCATCAGTCACAATGGTTAAAAGAACCAAATGCCCATCCACTTATGAATGGATACACAACATGTAGTGCAGTTAAACAACGGAATACTACACACTACAGGAAGGAATACTCATACACTTTATATAATATGGTGGATCTTTAGACACATTATGCTAAGTGAAAGAAGCTAGATACAAAAAAATACATATGATATAAATCTATTTCCATAAAATGTTTCACAAAAGGCAAATCTATGAAAACATAAGGTAGATGACTGGCTGCCTGGGAACTAAGACTGACTGCAAATGGGCACCAGAGACCTTCTGAGGGATGACGGGGATGCTCTACAACTAGACTATGGTGACAGCAACACAGCTGCACAGTTCTGTAAAACTAAGTGAATTGTGCACTTAAACCAAGTCAATATTGACATGAAATTCATTTCTCAGTAAGTCTGCTCTACAAGAAAAAACAAAAACCAGCCTACATTACTCATATAGAATCAATGGAAAATACATGCTCTTACCGTAACTGGAGCTGAGATTCTACTAAAAAGCACAAGAACTTTTGCCCGCATAGGTCAGATGTAATGAAAACTTTTGAGGCTTGTGAATTTTTCTCCCTGCAATAGTTCATTTAAAAAAGTAATTGTCAGCATAGGTCCAGATATCAACCACAGCAACTTTGGTTAAAGTCTTTGAGAATATTCTGCAGGATATCTAAAAACTACCTAGGTCAAACAATAACTTGAAGATTAAAAAAGAGGGGGGAAAATTCTAATTGACAGATGGCAATTCTCGTCCTACACTAAGAGTACTAAAATATGAAGATGAACTGACTATCGGATGATATTAAAGACATTAGTCCTTGGATGGGTGTAAAATTACATTATATGGTGAAACACAAACACTGAGTTATTTAAGGACAAAACGTCACAAAGACTTCCTTTTCCTTAATAAAGTTGAGCAAAATCAAAACTCATACTTGGCCAAGACACTCTGTCTAGGAAGTTTGGTATCTCAAATTCATGCTCAGGAACATGCCATCAAATATTGTATGTACCTGCGTTTACTTGTGCCGTTCCTACTGACTTTTTCCACCCTCACTTCACTCTTGAGAGTCTGACCTGCTCAGCCTGCCACCAATGACCTCACTGAAAATCCAGTGACCTGTCTCATCTGCCATACTCTCTAACACCTGGCAACACTGACGTGGCTTTCTTCTTGATAAGCTTTTTTCAAATCATTTTATTGGGGGCACATACAACTCTTATCACAATCCATATATACATCCATTGTGTCAAGCACAGTTGTACATTTGTTGCCCTCATTATTCTCAAAACATTTGCTTTCTACTTGAGCCGTTGGTATTTCATTTTTTTCCTTCCTTCCCCCACACTCCTTCCCTCAAGAACCCTTGATAATTTATAAATTATTATTTTTTCATGTCTTACACTGACTGTCCGATGTCTCCCTTCACCCACTTTTCTGTTGTCTGTCCGCTAGGGAGGTGGTTATATGTAGATAATTGTGATCAGTGTCCCCTTTCTCCCCTACCTTCCCCTTCTGGTACCACTACTTTCATTATTGGTCCTGAGGGATTTATCTGTCCTGGATTCCCTGTGTTTCCAGCTCTTATCTGTACCCATGTACATCCTCTGGTCTAGCCGGATTTGTAAGGTAGGGCAGGAAACATTAAAGAATTAGAGAAAAGTTGTATGTTTCATCAGTTACACTGCTCCCTGACTGGCTAGTCTCCTCCGTGACCCTTCTGTAAGATGTCCAGTTGCCCACAGATGAGCCTTGAGTCGCCACTCTGCACTCCCCTTCATTCACAATGATAGGATTTTTTGTTCTTTGATGCCTGATACCTGATCCCTTTGACACCTCGTGATCACACAGGCTGGTGTGTTTCTTCCATGTGGGTTTGTTTCTTCTGAGCTAGATGGCCGCTTGTTTGTCTTCAAGTCTGTAAGACCCCAGATGCTATATCTTTTGATAGTCAGGCACCATCAGCTTTCTTCACCACATTTGCTTATGCATCCACTTTGTCTTCAACAATTGTGTCAGGAAGCTGAGCATCATGGAATGCCATGATGTGGCATTAGAACAAAGTGTTCTTGCATGGAGGGAGTACTTGAGTAGAGGCCCAATGTCCATCTGCTACCTTAATACTAAACATGTGTGTGTGTGTGTAATAGATCTATTTCCCCATCGTCATATATAAATATATTTACATATCTACATGTCTGCATTTAGACCTCTATAAATGCTCTTTGCCTCCTAGTTCTTTCCTCTGTTTCCTTTTACTTTCCTCTTGTCCCACTATCACGTTCAGCCTTCATTTGGGTTTCACTAATTCCTCGGTTACATTGCCCTTGATCAAGCCCTACCAGGCCTCCGAGATGTGCTCTTTTTGTGTGCTGCAGGGTGGACCCTCAGGTTTCCCCCGCCTGACTCTCTTCCTTCATCTTTTTGCAGCTGGTAGTTATCTCTTTCCAACTGCAACATCGTATGTTGTCAGGACTTCTGTTTCTGGCACACCTGACTCCATACCACAGAATTTTAACTATTTGGGGATCACAGACTCCTGTGAGAATCTAAAGAATGTGAAAACCTCATCAGGAAAAGCCTTTACACACACACAAAAAAAAAATGTAAAAAAGATAATGCTGTTGTTGTTAAGTGCGGTCAAGTAAGTACTGACTCAAAGTAACTCCATGCAAAAAAAAAAAAGTGAAACACTGCCCAACCTTGCGCCATCCTTACAGTTGTAATGCTTGAGCCAATTGTTGTAACCAGGAGTCAATCCATTTCCTCAAAGCCCTTCCTCTTTTTTGCTGGACCTCCACTTTAACAAACATGATGCCTTCTCCAGGGACTGATCTCACCTGTTAACATGTCCAAAGAACACACAACAATGTCTCACCATCCTGGCTTCCAAGGAGCATTCTGGCTGTACTTCTTCCAAGACAGATTTGTTTGTTCTTCTGGCAGTACTTTCAGTATTCTTTGCAGCACCACATTCAATGCACCAATTCTACTTCAAATTTCCTTATTCAGTGTCTAACTTTCACATGCCTGAGACGACTAAAAATTCCATGGCTTTGGTCAAGCACTGCTTAGTTTTCAAAGTGACACCCTTGCTCTTCAACACTTTAAAGAAGTGTGCAGCTGATTTGCCCAGTGCAATGTACCATTTGATTTCCTGACTGCTGCTTCCAGGAGCATTGATTGTGGATGCAAATAAGCAAATAGGTAAATTCCTTAACAACTTCTGTCTTCTATTTTTTCATGCTGTTATCTATTGGCTCAGTTGAGGATTTTACTTGTCTTTTAATTGAGTTTCAATCCATATGAAGTCATGGATCTTCATCAGCAAGTGCTCCAAGTCCTCCTCACTTTTATCAAGTAAGGTCATCAGCATAGTGCAGGCTAATATGCCTTCCTCCATTCCTGATGTCATGTTCTTCCTCATGTAGTCCAATTTCTCATATTTTTCTGCTCAGCATACAGATTAAACATGTATGGGGAAAGGATACAACACTGACACACACCTTTTCTGATTTTAAACTACGAAGTTTTCCCCTGTTCTGTACAAACGACTATCTCTTGATCGATGTACAGGTTCCACGAGCACAAAAAAGACCTGAAGTTACCATTCTTTGGAACGTCATCTAGTTTGCTTTGATCCAATGCCTTTGCATAGTCAATAAAATACATGTAAATACTTTCCTGGTATTCTCGGCTTCCAGCTAAGCTCCATCTGATATCAGTAAAGACATCCTTCATGCAAAATCCACTTCTGAATCCACCTTGAATTTCTAGGAGCTCCCTGTCAATGTACTATTGCAACCATTGTTGAATGATCTTCAGCAAAACTTTATTTGCATGTGATACTAATAATATTATTTGATAATTGCAGGCTTTTGTTTGGTTATCTCTCTTTGGAATAGATATCAGATATAGATCTCTTCCAGTTGGCCAGGTTTCCAGATTTCTCTGCATAGGCAAATGAATGCTTCCAGTGATTCATCAGCTTACTGGTATCCCATCAAATCCTAGAGCCTTGCTTTTCACTAATGCCTTCAGTAGACTTTGCACTTCTTCCTTCAGTACCACTGGTTCTTGGTCATATGCTACCTATTGAAATGGAAGAATGTCTACCAGTTCTTCATAGCACATCTACTTTTGATGCTACATGCATTGTTCAACATTTTGCCCATAAAATCCTTCAATATTATAACTCAAGGCTTGAATATCTTTTCATCAGTTCTTTAAAGCTTGATATATTGAGTGTGTTCATCCTTTATGATTTAAGCTCCAGGTCTTTTCACTTCAATATAATACTTCACTTTGTCTTCTCAAACTGCCCTTTGAAATTTTCTTTTCAGTTCTTTTACTTCTAAGCTGCTCTACATTCAACGGTGTCAGAATCTTTTCTGACATCCACTTAGAGTTTTGCTCTCTTTCCTGTCTTTTAAATGACATTTTTGCTTTCTTCAAGTATGGTGTTCTTGATGTCATCCCAAAGTTCATCAGGTCTGTCATTAGTGTTCAATAACCCAAATCTATTCTTGAGATGTCACAGTAAATCAAGTGCGTATGCTCATAGTTGTATTTTCGTTATCAAGACCTTGTTTTCATTGTCTTCAACTTCATCCCAAACTTACATATGAGCAATTGATGGTCTGTCCCACAGTCAGCCCTGGCCTTGTTTTGGCTGAAGATATTAAGCTTCTCCATCATCTCTTTCAGCAAATGCAGTCAATTTGGTACCTGTGTTTTCCATCTGACAAAAACCACGTATATAGTTGTTATGTTAAATGGTACTGACAATGAAAACGTCATTGATCTTGCAAAATTCTACCATGCGATCTCCAGTTTGTTTTTGTTTTTTTTTTATTGTTTTATTAGGGGCTCTTACAACTCTTATCACAATCCATACATACATCAACTGTGTAAAGCACATCAGTTTGGTTTCTATCACCAAGGCCATATGTTCCAACTATTGTTCCTTCCTCTGTTTTCAACTTTCACATACACAATACTCAATACAAACACAGAATTTTAATAAAACTCATGCAACCATAAGCTCATTCATGAGATCCTACTGCCACCCACAGCTACACGTTGCCCCTATGAATCTGGCCTTTAAAGTATTTGATTCTAATTCACCTCTCTTGTCTCAATCACCACTGATAAGCTAACAACTCACAAATAACATGTTTACTGCTCTGCTCTTAACACTGGGATTACAATACCCACATATGGACCTCTAACTGCTCTCCTGAAATAAGACAGGCGCAAAAAGGATCTTCATAGTGCAATTTCCCTCTGTGCTCACTCTTTCTAAGCTTTTTCCCTTTCCCCTGTGCAAGCAAGGTGCAGGCACTTATAATTCTCTGAATTCGCTATGCACTCAAACTTGTGAACTTTAGTTCTCCACCATGTACTCCCACTTATTTATCATTCTAAAGCTTCCTTGTGTCACCACCCTGCAGAGTTCGCTCTCTTTAGAGAACAGGGACAGTGATGCACTTACCTGTCAAACCCCAGGCATTTACAGACACTGGCAAATGGCCAAATGAATGAATAAATGAAAACTTAAAGAGAACATAAAAGAAGGGTCACATCAACAGGAGATCTGACTTACGTTTTCCAAAATAGAGTTGACACTTAGGTAGCACACAGGTAAAACTTACAAAAACTATCATAAAATCCCAAGTTTCCTAGCCTGAAAATTTTTATTTTTATTTTTCCTAATCCAAACAGCAATTACCTTTAATCTGAGAGATCATTACTACTAAGCTACTAAAGAAATACCAAATGGAAAAAGTATGTTTCGTGATCACTTTAACTAAGAACATTAATATCTTCAATTGAAACTGAAATGGCTTTAAAATATATTCCCAAGTATTTGTGTATTTATAACTGATCATTAAAGGAACACTTTAAACAAAATATCAAGTATTTTCCAAAGCTTTTACCAACAGTTTTCTTTAAATATAAACATATACATTTCAAACCTTGTACTAGTAATCGCTTCTGTCCACAAATGGTCAATGCAAAGTTCTGGAACGATTGGCTCTGTTTCTGGTGCAAGAAAGGAGTCGTTCGAAGTACAGCTTGGAGAATGAGAAACACTGTGTCTTTTCGGAGACTGATTATGACTGGAAAGGCTGAACCTCTGCACCCCGGAAAAGGAGTGCACTCCCAAGGCCGGAGAATGCGCACGGCTGCAGAGTGAAGCAGAGGAGAGTCCATCACGATCAGAGACGCACACCTACACCCCACACAGGCCAATGTTCAATGTATGAGAGCATTCGTGGAAAAATCACGTCTGAAATACAATTTAGTTCTTGGTCGTTTTCTGCCTCAGAAAACTTAATCATTTACATTATGACACTCTAAAAAAACACTCTCAACTATGTTCCTGTATCCTCAGATATACTTGTATCTACACAGTATGCGTGTGTGTAGACACACACACACACATTCTTTTCTTAAGAAAATCAATACAAATACCAAAAAAAAAAATCACAATAATTTTTAAATTAATATTCATCAAACTACTGCCACTTAGTTATAGAAATGAGGCAACCAGACATTAGCAACTTCTAAATATGATTCATCAAAGAAAAGTGGCACAGAAATATGTAAGTCTTATAATAAAGAACGGCAATTGGATAACTACTTTCCTTAAAAAAATGCCCCAACACTATCAATAGAAATCCTTCAAGACAGAAAAGCAAGTTAGGCAATATGGCATCTTATTTTGACGATGTCCACCTTCAGTTCCTACCTTAGCGCTGCCATGTTGGAAATGGAAGGTGAACGTGAGTGCAGGCTGGGGGATGAGGCAGAGCGGCTCTGGCTGTGAATGGAGTAATTCTGGAAGGGCGAAGTCACAGGAGAATCTCCTTTGGAGAGGCTTCTGAGGTGAGCCGTGAGGGAGCTGCTAGTGGCCACATTCTGGGGGGTTCCCCCCTGTTCGGAGAACTTTAAAACAACATTCTCTTCCTTAAGTCAAAATAAAGATGAGGGGAGAGGGAAAACCTCTAATTAGGTAAAGGAGTAATTTCCTTGAGGTTAGATGCCAGTTACTTCAGAAACAAAAATTCTCCTTTCCTAGAAAGCTCAATCTACAATTATACCACAAATAATTCTTCCAAAAACAAGGGAAATTAACTACTGTGAAGTATTAACAGTATTAACTACTGTTTCATATTGAAAAGATGTGGTTTAGCCTTTATCCTTACCTCTGGTTTGACTCTCCGGAGAGCCCATACAGAATGCAAACCTTGAACCGTGTCATAGGTCATGACAATGGACGGGTCAGTATTGAGGGAAACAATTTTCATTGCATGATCGACAACATATTGCACTCTTGAAGAACCAAAAAGACCTTAAAAACACAAAATATATAATCAGGTATAAAACGAAAGACTCCAAATTCTTATAGATAGAAACCAAGCAAATTAAAGTGCAAAGTACATTAATATATTACATAATTAACTTTTGAAACTTTAGTAAAGTTGCTTTGGACATGAACTTCTTTAAGATACCTTAAAGTTGAGAGGGTTACAAGGTTCAATTACACATACAGATAGTTAAATGCTTTCATTTAACTTTGCACTGATTCTTCACTAAGCCCCTCACCCACCAGTCAAAAGCAGGTGCAGGTCCATGATTCCTTCACAGTCAACTATTCTACCAAGTTTGCCTTCTCTACTAATTCTTTTCTTCTGGATAGGTTTCCAGAGGCTTACGTAACAGCTTCCTAAATGCTACTCTCTGAATTAGAATACTAGAAAACAAAAACATGATTCTCTTGTAAAATAAGTATGCTATAAAGAAATGAACATCATCCATAATTCCATCATCTCAAAATATCAACTCTTGATATTTTAGAGATTTTTCTTACAGCTTTTTGTCTATACCCAAAGATGCCTTCTCTGATTTTGCAAAATATTTACAATTTGGTATCCTACATAATATTAAAATAAACTATTCCCCGGGGTATTATATGTTATTCAAAAAATAAGATAAATGATAGTTACAGACAGTCTCATTAAAAAATAGTTGTCTGCAATTTGTACCAACATAAAAGAGATAGAACATAGTCAACAAACTTTTACTTTTAAAGGTAAAAAAGTAAATATTTTAATCTTGATGAGCTACATATTCACTCTGTCACATCTATTTCTTTTTATCTATAACTCTAATTTAAAGAGGTAAGAACCATTCTTAGCTTGTAAATCTGAACTTACTCCATGGGCTCTAGTTTACCCAACAAGATTTCACAATTTGTATTTATAATAAAGTCCTAAAACTAAAATTGGTCAATAAATACAAATATCTGGTTAATCATTACATCTTTATTATAATAACCTATCATGTTTGGCGTTATTATTTCACTATAATAGCCTATCAAAGTCACATTTAAATTTAAAGATAAGCATCTAGAACTATTTGTACAAAAAAGTCCCAGAAAATTATGCAATTGTGAGCAAAAAAATAGAGAAATATATCCAACGCCACCCTATGGCCGACATTTTTTTCCCTAAAGAAAACAGTATTAGCTTATCCACATATCATTCATTTACTTATTAGAGGCTGAAGAACAGTCATCTATACACAGCTGCCAAATCTATTGCCATAAAGGTGATTCCACTCATAGCAACCCCATAGTACAGAGAACTGTCCCATAGGGCAGCGGTTCTCAACCTGTGGGTCGCAACCCCTTTGGGGGTCAAATGACCCTTTCACAGGGGTCACCCGATTCATAACAGTAGCAAAATTTCAGTTATGAAGTAGCAACAAAAACAATGTTCTGGCTGGGGGGGTCACCACACATGAGGAACTGTACGAAAGAGCTGCGGCATGAGGAAGGTTGAGAACCACTGCCACCGCCGGTTTACAAGTCTGTAATCTTGACAGAAGCAGGCTGCCCTCTCTTTCTCCCGTGAAGCACATGGTGGATTAAAACTAGCAACCTTTGGGTTAGTCCAACACCACACCCAACCACTGTGCCACCCAGGCACCCTGACTCATCTGTAGGTCACTAAATACGTTAGCATTCACAACTGATTTATTTATAGGGAAGACTCTATTTTGACTATACTTAAAGAATAACTATTAAACAGTTAATATTACGGTATTCAAGAAGTTATTTAACATAAATTAACTTCAGATTAAAAAACATTTTATAATGCATAAATTAATTACTTTTCTAAAACAAGTAAATGTTGGTAAATGTATTCTTTATGTCCTCCTCCCTCCCCCACAAACACAAGATGTGATAAAAATACACTTACTTCCAGATTTACAAACAAGAGGTGTTATTTCATCTAGGGGATGCAGCATGCTGAACAGTGTAGGTAAAGGTTTTCTAGCAGTAAACAAATAATCAATCAATCCATGGCCAATACAAAAAGTCATTTATGCAAAATTTGTATTTTCTTTGCAAATAAATATATTTTCCAGATTAAAAAAGCAACCAGAAACCTGAGTTCTAAAAAAAAAACCTTCCAACTTTTTACATGCCATCATTTATTGTAACATTACTTCATTCCTACAAAGCTCTCCTCTTTTCATGTAGGGTAATGCTGTAAACACACACCACACACACACACAAATAGCACACACACACACACACACACACACACAAATAGCACACACACACACACACACACACACACACAAATAGCCCAAGCAAAGATATTCTGTACTCAGTAAACTGAATACCTGGGTGGAACTGGAGGCATCTCATGGGAAGAACTGCTCCGTTCAAACAACAGTCCATATTTGGTGGGCCAAACATTTGCAACCTATAGGTAAAAAAAAAAAAAGGGGGGGGGGGGTCAGGAAGTTGGAGGGGGAGGAGAAACTACCACTTAATAAGGACTTAAAAAGTAATACCACTGTTAACTATATTTTTAAAAACGAGCAATCTTAAAATGCAAAAAGAACTTGATCTGAAATCCTTGCCAGTAGCTAAAACCGCACCCAAAATGACAATGTAATAAAATCTTACAGTAACATTAGGGATAGAAAACATAGCAAGAAACAGGAAAAACGCTAGTATTTAATATAACCAAAAGTTTCTGACATGTAATGTAAAATGACAGTTGCCTCTCAGAAAAGTTGTTGTTTTTTTTTTTCAGAAAAGTTCTTATAATCTTTCCACTTATATAAATTAGCTAAAAGTTAAGATATAATCATCTTACATGTTTTAAAATGTCATAATTCACTTAATCAGCTTCTCTGCTTTTTATTCAAAAGACAAAGGGTAAATCCCTATAGTTATTTTAAACAAAAACCGCATTCTTAACTACAATAATACATAAGAGTAGAAATAACTTTTAAACTAACCCACTCAAGAATGTTTGCTAACACAACATGAAAACACTCAAATTTACCTGAAAAGGTAAAGAAGCTATGTAATCTTTTCCTTCTATGCTATGCATGTTAATACAGGAGCTTTGCAATATGCATATGCATTTTTCCACTTCATCACTACCTGAAAAAAACAGGTACAAGTTTATGGAATTTTTCCTAAGGAGTTCAACCTAAAAAGCACAAACTCATATATAACAAAAATATTAGACTAAACCACAAGTGAGTGGCTATCTTGAATGAAGAAGAAAATGAAATATTTCAAATCATAGGGTAAAATAAAATTTCAGAAACTTACTGTATGCCTTTTCAGACTTATCCTGTGATATAATGAAGTCACACCATAAGGCCTAAAAGCAAAACAAAATGCTTACCTAAGAAAATTATATCTAAATAATAACCCACTAGCAATAAGTACCAGAGCCAACTGCCATGAGTCCCCAACTCATAGCTCCAAGTGTCAATTTTCAGTCCAGATAACCAGGCATTTCTTCCAAGGTACACCTGGTAGACTCAAGGCTCCAATCTTTGGGCTAACAGCTGAGCACAGTAATAGTGTGTACCATCCAGCAACTCCCCTCAATACTCTCTAAGTAATAGAATGGCATCAACACACTCACATAATAATTTTCCCTCCTCCCGAACTCACCATATGCACCGTAAAAACCAAGAGTGGAAACGAGATTAGACTACTTAATGATCAAGATCAACTATGTTTGCAATTGAATTTTATAAAGAAAGGGAAAAGTTGGGTTTTTTTAACTACTAAATAGTCACTCTGCAGAAAAACTGAATTCAAACGCAGACAGGCCTCAACTTACAACAGGGTTCCCTTCTAATATAGTTAAGTCAGTTCTGATATAATGCAATGCTTTTACATTTTCTTAAGTCTTCATTATTATTGCCTTTTACTATCACTGTCTTTATAAATCTAATATGTACTTACATTTGGGGGTTTGCAACATAACATATAAACTTACAGATGTATTTTGATACATGCATATACATCTATCGTAAGAATTTACTCCAACAGTGAAAAAAAGTTGGATAACATTGGCATTTTGTCAGTTGGGGTCATAACTCCTCGTGTGGAAGGTTCTGATTATCTGGATTATCCCTGGGAATAAGGCTATCATTTCCAGTCAGAGGCATCTCCACAGTACTATTTTATTCTTCACACATTTTACAGTAACAGTTCACTGCTTCCTGTATCTGCCTGTCAGCTTTAACAAATATATCAGCAGCTGAAGCTTCTGATTTAGTTCAGAAAAAACTTCACCTGTCCTTTCACTATAGCACTTTATGTTATCAGGAAAGGACACATGCTTGGTAAAGGGGAGGAGCCATGAAAACAGGCAGACCCTGGACGAGCTGGACGGACACCGTGGCTGCCACAGTTGGCTCAAACCTAAGAACAATTGTGAAGATAGCGCAGGGCCGGCCGTGTTCCGTTCTGTTGAGCACAGGGTCACTACGAGTTGGAACCAACTCAATGGCACCTTACAGCTCCACCCTCTTCCTCATTGTGGCTTTCCTTGTCAGCCTTTCTTTCCCCTTCAAAATCCATTAAATTCAGATCTTAATTCTGATCATAAGTTCGGCTACTTGCCATTCTTCATGATCCGTGAGCCGTTCCACATCAGCAGTACTAAGTTCTACATTCTTGGTCTTGCCATGTGGACAATTTTCCACCTATCTCCTCCATCATATTATCCTGATCCAATGCTTAGGACGTGTTCACTCAGCAATGTTTCCCTTATCTCCCACATGCATTTCCCCATACCTTCCTTCCCTGTGTATCCTGGGTCTCTACTACCTGTAAGGCCTTCACCTTTTATCATTTTATCATTTCTGTTACATTTGAATATGAACATTTTTGGCTTTTTAAAGTGTCAGATATTTATAGAACCCTAAAATTGCCATCAACTCACCTGTTGCACAGGACTGTCAACGGTAAACGCTTTGTAAACAGCCAGTGCCTGGCTTTTGCTTCCTTTGCTCCAGATCACCATATTCCCAGCCACATAGAGTTCCTCGTCATAGTCCACTTCTTCTCCAATTTCACTTACACCTTTCCTTAACTGCCAGCTTTCCTTAAAAATTAACACATGCATTTTTTTCAGTAGCATGAAACAAGATTTATTAATTAAGCCAAACTCCCCAGATTACAAGTCTCTCACTGTGCCTTTACCTATCACGGCCTGAACCAAGCCAGACGGTTTAACGTCAGCAATAACTTAATGGATGTGTGTGTTCACCTTACAGAATTTCATGAACAAGGATTTACTCAGTAACTGTCTATCTTAAATTACTAGAGATATATTATACTACTATACTACTCTATCAGAAATATAAATAAATTATATCATCTAGATTAAAAGTGAAAACTTTAAAACGCTTGGGAGACTAAGAAACCATACTGAACAAGGGTTTTGGTGAAGAGAAGTGAAGTGCGATGTGGATCACCAGGAAGTTTCTGCAATGGATAGATAGGTCCCCCCTTTTTTTTAAATACATCATTTTATTGGAGGCTCTTATAACAATCCATACATCAATTGTATCAAGCACATTTGTCCATATGTTGCCATCGTCATTTTCCAAACATTTACTTTCTATTTGAGTCCTTGGTAACAGCCCGTTTTTCCCTCCCTACTCCCTCCACCCCCTGACCCTCATGACCCCTTGATAAATCATAAATTATTATTTTCATAACTTACACAGTCCGCTGTCTCCCTTCATCCACATTTCCACTGTTCATCCCCATGGGGACGAGGGTGATCGGTTTCTCCTTTCTCCCCCATCTCCTCCAACCTTCCCCCTACACTCATGGTATCGCTACTCCCATTATTGTTCCTGAGGGGGTTATCTGTCTGGATTCTGTGTGTCAAGAGCTCTTCTCTGTACCAGTGTACATGCTCCAGTTTAGCCGGATTTGTAAGGTAGAACTGGGGTCATGATAGTGGGAGGGGGAGGAAGCATTAAAGCACTAGAGGAATGTTGTGTTTCATTGGTGCTATACTGCACCCTGGCTGGCTCATCCCATTCTTGTGACACTTTTGTGAGGGGATGTCCAATTGTCTACAGTTGGACTTTGGGCCTCCACTGTGTCCCCCACCCCCGCTTATTCAAATCCATATGATTGTTTTTTTTCAGGTCTTCTGATGCCTAATACCTGATCCTGTGGACACCTTGTGGTCACACAGGCTGGTGTGCTTCTTCCATGTGGGCTTTGTTGCTTCCCTGCTAGATGGCTGCTTGTTTAACTTCAAGCCTTTAAGACCCCAGACACTATATCTTCTAATAGCCGGGTACCATCAGCTTTCTTCACATTTGCTTATCCACCCATTTTGACTTCAGCTATCATGTGGGAAAGGTGAGCATCACAGAATGCTGTTATTATAACAAAGTGTTCTTGAGTTGCAGGAGGACTTGAGTAGAAGCCCAATGTCCATCTGCTACCTTGATACTTAACATATAAATATATGTACACAGACCTATATCTCTACCGTTATATATTCATATATATACATAGACCTAGACCTCTATCATTACATATTCATATATTTATATATATACATGGCTATATTTATACCTTTATAAATGTCTTTTGCCTCTTAATTCTTTCCTCTATTTCCTTTTACTTTCCTCCTGTCCCACTATCATGTTCAACCTTTACTCAACTCTCTAATTCCTCTCGGCTACATTGCACTTGATCAAACCCCACCAGGTATTCAACACCCTCCTCGTCAGTGACTTTAAATTTCTTGTTGTTCCCTTTTCCTGGGTTTTTGGCTCCCCCGTCCCTTTTTCCCACCTCCCCCTCTCTCCTGTCCCCCCAGAACCATTGGTCCCATTATTTTCACCTCGGGATGGTTTATCCTGCCTATCTTATAGATCTAGACAGATTTCTCTCTTGACAACATGCACACACCTCCCCCTGCCCTACTCATTGAAAGAAATGGAAGAAATCAAATTCTACATATAGACTATCCCTCTGAGATACTGGAATGCAAAGGGACATAGGAAAGAGAGTGAGGTGGCAGGAGTGATGACTTTCTGACACACTGATAACCCAGGTCTCTAAGAAGGGCTATTTCTGCTGAACTGCCAGTTCTTTTCTCCTCTGAAAATTTGTGTGGATATAGCTAATCTCTCCCATCTAACTCTCAAATAATACAAAATACAGTCAGTATACACTAATAAGTAAAGAGGAAGACATTTTAACGGGAGCACAATCCAGTGCTGAGTTTGATTCTTACCATAAAATCACAACGAGTTATATATGTCAATATAAAGTCATTAATTTAACCTTGATGGAGATGGCCAAATTTTAATCTCTACCGTACAAGTAGCATTATACTCTTGTCCCAGCTATAATTTTAATGGGAGCCTTAAATTACAACTAGATTAAACCACTCTATAAAAATATGATCAGAAATTAAGGGAACCTTGTGTTTTTCGTGAATGGTGACCTCCTGAAGGGACCCCACCAGGCCGGCGGCACCATCAGAGGACCATAGCTCGGAGGCTGGCTGCAGCTGGCGAAGCTGAAGGTTCAAAGCACTAGGATGGTGCTTGCAGTGGTCTCGGCCAAAAGGAACAAAGTCCTGCAAATCCCTGGCTGCAATCATCGTTGCCCTTTCTTCATAGAAGTTCGACATGGGGTCCAAATATCAACATTATTTCTGTGTGAAGTCAAACACAGTCTGGTGAGCTTCTAGAGTCAAAACCAGGGTAAAAATACCTACAAGTTTACAGACCAGTCATCAATCCTCAGATGAGTATCAAATAATGCTATCATGTTGCATAAGTCATGGTTAACAACGAGGAACATTTCTGGTTTAATTCTCATAGTAGATGCAACTACAGCCACATTCTAGTCACAAACTGAAAAACAGATGGTGATCACTGTAGGAAATGACAGAGTTGAAACAAACACGCGTGTCCCACAGCAACTATCCCATAAGGTTTCTCAGGAAAACTAAACTCACTGCCAGAGTCAATTCTGACTCATAGCAACCCTATAAAACAGGGTAGAAATGGCCCTGTGGGCTTTCTGAGACTATAACTCTCTACGGGAGTAAAAGCCACATCTTTCTCCCTCAGAGTAGCTAATGGTTTCAAACTGCTGACATTATGCTTAGCAGCCCACTGTGTAATGCACTATACCACCAAGGCTACTGCTACAGGACTTCCCAACATTAAAAGTTTCCTCTGTTCAGATTCAAAACACACATCTAATGAATCAATGGCATTTAGGATGAAAAAAGAAAAAACTGAAAAAAACACACCTCACTGCCATCCAGTCAATGCTTACTCATTGCAACTGTATAAAGCAGTGGTTCTCACCCTTCCCAATGCTGCAACCCTTTAATACAGTTCCTCATGTTGTGGTGACCCCCAACCATATTTATGTTGTTATTCCATAGGTGTAATTTTGCTACTGTTATGAATCGGGCAACCCCCAGAGGGGTTGAGACCCACAGGTTGAGAACCGCTGCTGTGAAACATGGTAGAAAGCCCTTGTGAGTTTCTGAGACTAACTCTTTACAGGCTAGAAAGCCCCACAAATACAGACCCAAGAGTGGCTGATGCTTTCGAACTGCTGACCTTGCATATCGCAGCCCAACACATAACCACTACCCTACCAGGGGAGAGGGCAAAAAGCAAAACAAAACAGATTATTCTTAATTCATCCAAGGTTGAGCTACAGCTTCCAGTCAAACAGCCCACAAAAATCCCATAAACTATCAAAATGCCAACAGTAATTCTAATGCCCCAACCTCATCTAAATATAGAACTATACTCAATCTCAATCACTAGTCCAAACCCAGGGGACCCAATCATACATAACTCTAGACAAGAAACAGACGACTTATATCCATCTGACTTATAGCTGATTTAATTACCCCACCTTTTAATTAGCAGGAGCCATTAAAGAGTTTACTACAAATATTTCCACAGTCCTATAGTAATTGACAGCTTGTAAGATTCTGACACTGCCTAATGTGGTATACAACGTGAACATCAACTCTGCCTGCACCAGGACTGCATTAAAAATTGATTTCCTGGCAACACATTGAAGCTGCAATCCTCAAACACAGAAACCAAAACGCTTCAACGTCAGCACCGCAAGCCACTTTTAGAAAGTGTGTTTGAAACAGTGCTCACAGTTAAGAGGTTTAATTACATTTGACCTCAATTTCTCGTCCCGGGTCTTTTTTGGCATCTGGAGTTTTCTTTTAATGTGCTGCACAAACATCTCAATGCCGGTGCAGTTCCTGGCAGTTCCTTTGGGGTAGTCATTTCACTGTGAATCCAACGGCAGTCCTGAGAGATCCGTTCAGCACAGAACACGTTACTGATTTTTGTTCTTTTTACCTCACTGCTAGAAATCAATATTGAGAACATTTGAACCTTGGACATAGGTAAAATATTGCCTTATAAAATTCCTGAGGAAATAAATTTCAGCTGGTCTTTCTGAGACAGATTAGGAATGAGGCTGGATTCTCCCATGACCATTTTTCAAGTTCACAGGGCTTGGAGGCATTTTTACAGATAGGCTCAATCACACCCTATGTCTAGTTAACATGTAAGCTTGTAACGCATTACAACAGCCTGCATTATTTTCAATTTTCTTCTCCCCCTGCAAGGATATTGTTGTTTTTTCTCCCGTCAGAGTAATGTGTTTGAGTTCCACATCCACCTGCCAGTTTGGGATGAAAGCCTACCCAGAAGCCTTTACTTTGAACTTCATTTTTGAATACTGGTTGCACGTGGGCCTGATTACCATAACCCCACCCAGGTAGGCCCAATTCCCAGAATTCTCCACCTGTTATGAATACACATGATGTCTTTCCCGCCTCAATGCCCTTGTCCTTATAAACCTCTCCTTTGCTCCAGAAGACCATGGGTGGCCTGCAATGCCTGGGGTCCCCCTGCCATGTCTCCCTTTACACGGTAGTTCTCTACGAAATGTTCTGGCTTGGCTCCCTGCCTCATTATTCTTAACTGGCCAAGGATAAGAACCCAATCCGTGGGGCAATCCTGCGACACCCTGATTCCTACTCAAAATAAAAACCAGGCTCTAGGGCATCGAGTGGATTCCCACTCACGACGACCCTACAGGGCAGGGGAGAACTGCCCTGCGGGTTTCCGGGGTTGTAATGCTTTAAGAGAATAGAAACCCTCGTCTTTCTCCCAAGGAGCGGCCAGTGGTTTCGAACTGCTGACCTTGAAGTTAGCAGTCCAACATGTATCATCCCACTTTGCCACGAGGGCCACCGGCAACACATATAGCTAGCTATACGTCAGAGTGCCACATTTAGAGGAACATGCTGTAAATAAAAAACCGTTCCTACTATGAGACTAGAAGGGCGCCCTGGTGGCCTAGTGCTTATGCACTGGGCTGCTAACCGCAGGGTCAAACAGTTCGAACCCACCAGCCGCTCGGCGGGAAAATGACGAGGCTTTCTAGTCCCGTAAATTGTGACAAACGTCTAGCACCTATGCGAGACTGGAGGATGTACACATAATGGACTCGAGATGCGTCTCGGCAAAATGGCAAAAACTTTCTTGGCCTCTTTGGCAGGCGATGAAGTCAAACAAGCTAAGGACCCGCTCGGCGGGCTGGGAGGAGCCGCACCCCGGAGCACGGCCCGCGAGGCCCGCCCAGGGCTGCTCTCCGCTCTCGCAGCCCTCGGGGTGCCCAGACGCCGGCACGTCGCGGCGGGGGGCTCCGCTGGCTCCGCAGACCCGCGCGCGCACCTGTGTGACTCGGGACGCGGCGGGCGCGGCGAGCCCCGGCTGCTCGCCGAGCGCGCGGGGGCCGAAGGGGCCCGAGGACAGCGGAGGGTCGGTCGCGGTGACTCCTCAGCCGCCGTAGCTTCTCATCCCGCTCACTCCCCAACTCCGGAGGCGACAGGGACTGCAGTGACCGGCGCGACAGCTAACGGCAGTCCAACGTGCCGGCGGCCCGTTCGGGGAGACGTTCAAATGGACGCGACCATCTTGACTTCCCGTCTTCCCTCGCGCCGGCGCGGGGCGGGGCGGGGCGGGGGCGGGGCGAGGCGGGAGAGCCGGGGCGGGGCGGGGATCCCGGGGCAGGAGAGCGGCCCGCGGTCCTAGCGCCTGCGCTGTTGCTTGAAGATTGCACGTGCCTACACCTAGCCCCTTTTTACCTTCTCTACCTGCCTTAGGAAGGAACACAGAGCCCCAAAGCCAGAGTTCCTCGCAGAATGGGACCCTCCTGACTTCGATTGCTGATCTTCCCTGGATCATGTCCCCAGGATCCTGCACTGCCACCTCTTGGTTTTGGAGCCCCGCTCATTCTGTAATAGTGAATCTTAGCCCTTTGCGGCTCAGTCACAGTGGATGCAAAGTATGGAGGCCCTTACAATAGATGTAGCATTCCTGAGGTTCGAAGATGACTCAGAGACCCACGTGTTAAGAGCGTCATCTTTACCTTTCTCTCCCTATCTGTGGGTTTTCCTGTACATTATGTAGGAACTAGAGCTCTAATCCCCTATGAGAAATGTGGATGGTGAAAGTGTTTTCCGATTGGCCACTAGCCTAAAGTTGATGGTTCCACCACACCCAGCAGCACTGCGGAAGAAAAGCCTGGTGATGGGCTTCTTTAAAAGACCCCAGCCAAGAGAGTTCTTTCTAAAGCAGCTCACAACAACACTCTCCCCTTCACAATCTGGCAAGATAAAACTATTGACGTACGGCCTAGCAATAAACTTCATGTTCTTTACCCAGACATGTAAAGTTGGCTGGGACTTTAGAACGTCTCTGAAAAGGTGTACTGGGAAGGCGTAGATGCAGAGGCTGTTTGGTATAACCAAATCCCTCTTTGAATCTGGTTCCCTGGTTTGTGTTCTATGGGTCCTGGGGCAACCCAGTTAATTTGGCCTAATAATGTCTTTAGTACTTCTGTTCTACTTCGTTGTTGATTACATAGTGCCTGTGGGGTCTTAAAACTTACTTGAAGACATCCACAGCACGATTGGTCTCTATTCACCTAGAGGAAGAAGGTTAGGAATAGGAGGATGTGGAATGTGTGGCTCTTGCCCCTTTGAACGAACGACTGACTCCTTTGCCATGAGATCTGACAAACTGAATGGTACCTGGTTATATTACTGTTTCCATCAAAGATTTTATAGAAGAATCCTGGTGAAAAAGAAGAGACTGTAGGACAGAATTTTAAATTCTCCTGGAATCTAATTTCTGAAACTGTCCGTCTGAATGAATTCCTAAAACTTTTGCCCTAAAATAATCTTTACACCTTAAACCACAAATTTCCCCTGAATTCTTCTTAAAGCCAAACAGTACTAAAACCGGTAGTTTAGCTTTACTAGTAAAGAATGTCTGCCGTGAGCGCTATGCTTTTTACAAGTCTAATGGTTATCGACTTGATGACTGTTACGTTTGTTGTTAAGACTGTAGAGTCCAGTGCGATTCACTGGGACCCCGTGCACAACAGAACGAAACACTGCCTGGTCCTGAGCCATCCTCAGTCATTGTTATAGTTGAGCCCCATGTGTCAATCCATCCCAAAAGCCTTCCTCTCTTTCACTGACCCTACACTTCACCAAGCCTAATGTCCTTCCCCAGGGCTAGTTTCTCCTGCTACCATGCCCAAAGTACGTGGGATCACACAGTATGTGGGATCACATTGGTAACAATAACTTAAAGGACTTGATTAGGAACCTTAGGAGGTAATGTGTGTGTGTTAATGGGGGGAGGGGGGGAGGACTCTGAAAAGGAGGGTGAGAAGGATTACATAACTCATGAATGTCATCAGTGTTTTTAAATTGTACATGCAGAAACTGTTGAAATGGTGTAGATTTTACTTTGAATATTCTCAACAACAGATACAAAATAAATATAATTTAGAGGGCGGAGAGTGTCTTCTGGGGTTCCTTAAGCATACTTTGCATGTTGCGCCCTTGCTGCCTTGGTTCATTGCTATCACTTACAATGTCGTGATGATTGTTAGGTTTTGTGTCAACTTGTCTGGGCCAAGATTCTCCATGGTTTGGCCTAGTTATCCCCCGTGATATGGCCTCACAGAATGGAATCAACTCCATGATGGAATCTGCTGTGAGCTGCCAACCCGTTGGGGGAGGACTGGAGTAGAGTGCATTGCCTCTGCTGTGGGCAACTAACACTGAGGGAAATATGATGAGGACTATATTTCCTAATGTATGACAGAGGGACTCTGGAGAGCTAGTATTCCACAGTAGGAAAATCACCACTTTGGTTAAGTTAGAGTCCAAGTACATTATCCTGCTTTAAATAGCATCCCCACAGATTCTCCCCTAATAGCTATGCTGCCTTAAAGTGAGCACATGGTTGATTTTATCTACCTATAGAAGCAGACACCCTTTTGCTGTCTCCTCCCACCATGTCACATCCCCCTCATGCCTTCCCCCAATGCAGGTATTAGGTTTCCTCACCAGTGAGCTCAGGGACCTTACTGTAATTACCACCCACCTTGTGACATATGTAACTACTGAATATGCATGTTTTACAGCTACCTATAAATATCCCAAGATAGTAAAGATTCACTCTCTCCTCCCAGTTCCACATGGACCATCAAGAGGGGCTAAGATGAGCATGCTACCATAAAATGTGTCTGACTCCTTTATTGTACTCTCTCCTATCTTTCTGATCCTCTATGACTTTACTTTAATCTTTATATATTATAACCATACAATTGCGCCTGCTGACCCTCCGGTTGTTAGAGACTGGTTTCCTCTGACAATTACTCAGATTACAGCCTTAATGCACCTGAAAGAATGTTTTCTTGGGGGTATGGCCTAATTCCTATATAAGTCGCTGCTGTGGGGAAGCTCACCTGCTTCTTGCTGATCTGGTTTCTGTATCTGGCTTATCAACCTCCAGTTGTTTGGATTTGAGCCAATGACCCATCAGACTGCCTACTGACCCAAGCAGCCATCGGCAGTCTGCCATTTCACCTGCTGGTCTCAGATTCGTCGGCAGCACAGCCTGACCTGCTGATCTTGGCTTCATCTGCCTCTGCATCCACCAGCCTATAGTCTTCCTATTTCATCTTCTTGTTTCCTGCCTAGTCTTCCTGGTTGACCTTCCTGTTTCCAGGTTCACCAACCCATGAAGATACAGAGGTCAGGAGAAGCCTTCAACCTAACATCTGACCATCAGATTTGAACCAGACTGGACTTAGCACTTCTAAAATGTGTGAACCAATTTCTTAATATACATCAATCAATCTCTCTCTCTCGACTCCTTTGCTCCCTTACTCCTTCAGCCTCATCTTATATAGAACTATGAGCAGACCTAATCCTTTACCTTATATTAAAATATCCCCACACTTCCTTGACTCAAGGATACAAATGAGGTCAAATTAACCATCATTTCCCCAATGGTCAAATCTTACCCCTATGTATTCGCCCCCATAGGATCCCCTCACCCTACAAAGTCTCCTTCTTCCTGCACTAAGTATTTTGGGGATAATCTTCATCAAATCACATCTCAGATGTCTCTTAGTCCCTTTATGTTAGATTTTGGCATCTCCTCCCACTTTGGCCAACACTGTAGCCAGCTCACTCCAAGGGGCACCCATTGTTTCACTAACCCTGTCAGTCCCACTAGTAGTCATTCACCATAGAGGGCCAGACCCTCTCCCTTGCCAACCGCCATGAAGCCAGACCAATGAGTCACCCTCCATAGGACTCAACCTGGGCTCCCCTTGCCTCCACACAGTGTGGGGCCCAAAGGCATAGCCTAAAGTGTAGAGAGCAATCTGTGATCAAGGCAAATGTTGGTCAGTCGAAATAAACAGGAAGAAGCCAAATGTATAGAGTCCCTTTTCCTCCCACTCTCGTTCTCTATTCTAAATGTTGGTACCTCTGCACACTTGCCAGGACATGTTGTGAAACCGCAGCCCGTGCACTACTTCACGTGCTCCCCAGCCTCATCTTCTCCTTTCTTACATTCTCTCCATCCTGAGATGGAAACACCCATAAAGCATTAACGCTACTCATTCTTGCCTCTGGCCCTCATTTCTAAATAACCCCAGTGGTACCATCCACACAGGATGTCTGTCGCTGCAAAGCATCCAGTCTGTGGCACAGAGTCCCTATAAAGGTCGACACAGCTTTCCTTCTTAGGTGCTAGCTTTTCTGCTCAAGTGATGTTCCCCTCCAGTATTCCCAAAGACCATTAGTCAGTTCTTCAGAGCCAGAGCACAACTGTTTGCTGCAGAATGGCAGATTGAGCCCCTCTGCCCCCTTGCAGTACTCACAGTACAACGTAAGCCCAATGGCATTGTCACTAAGAGCATTGCTTACACATATGAACTGATAGTCTCTACAGAAAACAAATCCTTCTGCTTCTCTAACTAACCCCTCTGTTCCTGGGGTCCAACTCACAAATCCAGGGGTTTCAGAGATTAGATAACATTTGTTATCTTCATCATCTCCCCCTCCTGCTAAAATCTGAGGCATCTACTCAGCTCAGCAAGCAAAGTACCTATCTTTCAAGCTACCAACTCACTGCACTACATCTGTGGCTTTTAAATGATTGTGAATTACCTTAAGATAGCGGTGCACCCACCTAAGCGCACAAAACCTTGAAGGCAACAAAGCCACATGAAGCAACACATGAACAGAATGGGCTACTGGGCCGGCCCCAATCAGAGCCAAAGTGACCCCTCCTAGAAGTATGTGCCACAGAGGACAACACTAAACCTGCAGGTTGGGGGGCAGCCAGCATGGCACGCCCACAGGGAAGCAAACCGAGAAGGAAAGAGAGAGAGTGAGGGTCTAGACCACATAATGACACACCAAAACCTAAGGACAACAGAGCTGCTAAGGCACACACTGACAACAGCTTGGAGCATACCGCAACAGAGGACAATACTGGAGACAGGCGGTGGGGAGTGAGTCCGGTCTGAACTCCCACATCAGGGTGAACCAGGAAGGGAACAT